AGAAGAGCAGACTCTTGTCAGTAACCAACATTAGTGTACCTTTTTTAAAGGGCAGGGCACCTCCAACCCACACGTCCAATCTCTTCTCATTGATTGGAACACCTGACTCCTGACTAGCTTTTGGAGCTAACCTAGAGGTTCATATACTTTTTCCAACCTAGACTAAATGTTTGAATGATGTGTTCAGTACTGACCAGAAGAAGTACAATTGTTTGTGTGTTATTACTTTAAGCTGATTGTTTGTCTATTATTGTGACTTAGTTGAAGATCAGACCACATTTTTATGAGAAATGAATGCAGAAATCCAGATAATTCCAAAGGGTTCACAAACATTTTCTTGCAACTGTATATATGATAATACAAATTACTGAGCATGGAAAAAATCCATACTTAGCATCTCTTATAACATCTTCTCTTGTAACAGAGCCATTGAAACAAAGCTATCTTTAAATTATGACTTTATTGCATTTAGTCAACGTTGTTTAGGGGAAAATCTTGTTTGGGTGGTGATGTGATCACATGGTAATGAGATTCACCACATTAATAAATGTGTCCAAAGAGGATTTTAATCTACACAGTCTGTTTTCTTGGATGTAGTGACGACTTGGCATCCCTGGCAGCTAGTGGAAGTAATTATAACTTCAATTTTACATTGCACACATCTGTCCAATTTTTCTTCTAAATTCAAAAACAATTCAAATAAAAGTATTACTAACAGGACAAGCCTCTTAAAGCTTTGTGCGCTGTCATCAAATATAAAGCTTTGGCAAAAAACTGTTGTAGAAACCTCACACTCACCATTTCCACTACGTAGCAACCTCCACTTCTCAGTAAAGTGACACTTGATGTTTCAGTTCTGTATAACACTGGACTATATCTTATGACATACAACATGATCTAAGATTTTCAGAAAGATTTAGATAAAGTTCCTCATAAAACATTAATTGTCAAATTACGGGTGATAGGCATTCACAGAAATGCAGGAGATGAGATTGGATTGAGAATTACTTCATATACAGAAAAAAGAGAGTATAAGAGAAAAGAGCAACAAGACACAATCAAGGGTTGAAGGGAATGTTACTACACTGACAAGCTGAAAGTAATGAACCTTTTTACTAATCAATGGAAAACACTATGAAACGATCTGATACAAACATTCAAAATCTTCAAAGGAATTGACTGTCAACCCAGTGGACTTCTTAAATGACTTTAAAACAGGGAATAGAGCGCACTTCTTTACACATTGGGTTATAGGCATATGGAAGTAGTTCAAGTAGGTACTGTAGCTGCGTCAGCATGCGGAGGCTGCAAAGCAACAGGTAATGGGTTTATTCCATGCTGAAACGAAAATAAAGGAAACACAATGTTTCGTCTGTGGAGATAGGTACTAAGCCATGTTCTTGAAATGGATGAATCAAAAAAGTGCTGAATGAGATCCTTGGATCAATTAACTACAGATTTCCAAAGGCCTAGATGGGTCAAATGATCTCCTATTATTTAGAACCTTTCTTTTGTTCTATTACAAAATATTTTCTAAAAGCATTTTGTTCTAGTGCATATATTGTACTATTCCTAAAAGGAGATATTATTATATATGTCTGATATTATGTTCACCTTCAAAAAAGTGTTGCTCCGAAAACTGTCAGGACTAAAGCACGAGTCACAGTAAAGGCTGACGATGGGTTTAATCTGCTAAATAACAAACACCCTAATGCATTTCCTGGGATTCAAAATTATACAAATTCAAAAAAGTTTCTAAAAGACTCAAGACCTAAATATTCCTAAAATGTTGCAATGCAAATTAAAATTAAGATAATTTTCCTTCTCTGTACATTTGCAGTTAGAGAATTAAAAGTGTTTTGCATTACGGCATGAATAGAGAGCCTGTATATAAGGAACTGCTTCATACTTAAAATGCTACACAATTTGATTTATAGTTGTTTTAGTATACAAGTTTAATTTATCAACAATCAGGACTGAAATGGATAGCTCTTTTCTTCAGAGGCCTCAAATGGTTAACACAGCAATAATGATGCAGGTTCAATGTATTAAATCTAACTCTAGCTTTGTTTCAGATGTCTCATTAAAGAAAATGAAACAGATCCTTTTCAAGCTGAAAAAAAGAAAAGAAACACCAGGGCCATTACTCCTTTTTTTATTTCTAAATTAAATCAAATCTCATTTTAATTACAACATCAGTTCTGCTAGAAGAGTAGCTGGCTTGAGCTAAACCTTATGGCAAGCTATTAATTTATGAAGCACGTATAAAAATAGTAAACTATCTGCAAACGGTATCGTCTTGCTCATGTTTTGTGTAATTACATCAGAAGATATTGCAAAATGTCTAAGACTTTCTAGTTGAAAGCACACAGACAATACCTACATACTATATCTGCATAAGAAGGGTCACTAACTAGTGGCCATTTGGCCCAACTTGATGTACATAAATAAATGGTTCCAACATGGCAGCTTCTTGGACAGTTTTCACAAATCATTGTTTAAAAAAAGCATCTCCTAATTTTAGTCCAAACCCTTTCTTCTCCTAAATTCTACTTGTGACCTTGTTTTCATGTCTCATTATTCAACTTAAATCAACCCTAGCCAAATTTTGACTTCATCAGTACCGAAGAAGAATCTGAAAACGTGAATAAACCCACTCACTCCCTCCTTTGTACAACCCCCAGATAAATCATGCCTGCACGTGACTTTCCTGAGGGAACAGGAACATCTGGATGTATTTCTTTGTACTTTTTCAGGAGTAGAAGTGTCCCTTTTGTAGAAGGGTGACCAGCTGGGCACACAATATTCAAAATCACGTCTTACAGTAAATTTCATTTTACAAATTGGCTCAATTCTTTATTTTTCATTATCTGTTTTTTCCACTTCCCTGTATTGTCTAGATGGGATAGATATTGGCACCTAAACCCCTTAAGGTTGGTTTTCAAGTTCATTATCACCCATATGTATATTACAATGAGTATTAATTACTTTCCACTTGACATTAACACTTCACTTGCCAAGCTTAGCCTAGTCCTGGACCACCTCTAAGTCACTTCTGTATTTCCATTACGTCTACTACTGCACTAGATACATTTGTGTCATCTGCAAAATTAACAAGTTTCCTGACTTCACCAGAATCTAGATCACTGATATAAATCAGGATGAGTTGTGGGCCAAACGAAGATCCCCACGGTGTATCACTAATTACCCCAGCCCAGTTAGAGGCTTCTCCTCTCATCTGTACCCGGAAATATTGTACTTGGCATTCTCAGGAGGTCTCCCATCCAAGAACTAACTAACCATGGCTGACAAATTCTCTTCTGTACACAAACCTTAAAACCATGATTTGCAATGCAAATTTGGAAAAAAAAGTTTTTAATGATAAAGTTCCAATTGCTTATATTTTGTACTCATATCAGATCTATTATAACTTCCTTTCAACAAATTTAGAGTCACTGTCATTAATAAGGGATGGAAGTTTTTACATTTTGAAATATCTAATGATATAAAAACGCATTTCATGAAGCTTTTGAACTAAATGTCCTTGCTGAATATATCATGTAAATAGAGGAACATCTGTTTCTAACATTCATCTTCATTAAGCAGGGACGAAAACTTAAATGCAGTATTATCGGTTCAATTTTTTTTCCATACACTGACCATGGTATCATTATACAATATCCAGCCTGAGCTAAATTATTTAGGTTATTTAGTTACTGCATATCAGCAAGCCTGTTTAAGAGTGCCAAGCTAATGAACTGGTCAAAAAAGTCAGACAGCTTAATGAAAATTCTACAATGCTAAGTATGTTATCAATTGTAACAGTGCTTTTTTGCAGACATTACCTCAGTGGTTATTACTGTTTATGGCTTACTGAAATCAGTACAATGCAAAAAAAATGGTGGAATTTCTCAAGCATCTTGCCTTGTAAAGCAAATACACAGAGCTTTGGCATGAGAAACAGCTATTTCTTTGAAATATTTCTGTTATTTGAGGCATTGTATTGTGTGACCTGTAATATCTCACTAAACATGGCAGCAACATCTAAGAAACAGTTGGTAACATCCGTTTTATATTTAATTTCTGTTTTTAATGATTATGTCTGTGGACAGAGAAATATTGCTGGAATTCAGTGCAGGTAAGTCTTACCTTATGCTTTGCTGCCTTTATGATCATTTAACAAGTTATGCATAAAGTCCACATTTTTTCATTTCTTTCAATTACTAGAAACAATCTATTGTGTGTCATTATACTGTCTGCACAGTCCCAGGAGAGAAATAAATAAAGGGCATAGTTCCACAGAAGGTGAGAGGAAACCAGAACAAATGGACAGACATTGATGAGCATGCCACCAGTTCACAAAAACAAATTCCACACAGACGGGAGCAGAGGGCCAGAATCAACAGCAGACCCCAGAGGTCATCATGTCACCCTCACTACATATACAAGAGAAGAAATAATATTGAAGCATCTGGAAAACAAGGGACACAGGTTGCAGACAGCAAAGGCTCAGGCTGCTTAGCTTCAGTTATGAGTTACAGGGTGATACAGCCGCTGGTAGGGGTGTTACCCTAGTCTTCTGGCCACATTTCCCATTGGTGTTTACCAGTCATGGCTTCATCAATCTTCCTCACTGATAACTGATGTGTGATGGCGCATTATGGCTGCCGTCGCATCATTGAAGTGGATGCTGCACATTGGTGGTGGTGAAGAGGAGTCCCCATTACTTGTTAAGTGCTTTGAGTGGAGTGGCCAGAAAATAGAATATAATACTAAATCCAGAAAAAGCTATGAAAAAACTATAAAGTGCTAAAAATGATTAATTAGGAATAAGTATGTTGACAAAATGGGCTACAATGTGATTTTGCGTCCCTCCATAACACTGTGTCTCACAAATGCATACAGAGTGTGTTCAGAATAAAGACCACCCTAAGCCACGGTGGTGCTGTCAGTTCCTGGAGCTACTGTAGAGTGATGTTGGGGGGGGGGGGTGTACTCACCATCTTTTTCCTCCTGTCCTGTTCAGTGGGAGGCTCCTCATCCTCTGTCAGTTGGGGTTCCTCAAAATGCGTCATCAGCATACAACTAGAATTAAACAGAACATCACCAGCGCTAAACAATCACTTTCAAGAAAATGCCACATGAGTTTAGGTAAAGCAGCATATACAGATAAACGGTTATGGTATATTTTTAGGCAGGAGAAAAAAAAAACTTCGGGTTAGTTTTGTAATACATTTACAGTAGATAATTTGGTTCATTATTTAAATATCCCACGATTTAAAACTATGCCAAATTAAATTTTTTAGTGTTCTATTAGATGTTTACAAACACTTGTAATTACATATTAAATTTACATTGTCTAATAGATGTCTCTTAGTCTCCTGAAAATGCAGTTTCAGGTTATTCAATGCTATTTCCTTATTGTGAAAAAATGTTCTTTTTTTTACTAGCCCATTCAAACTGTAATATTTTCAGACTCAATCAATCATCATGACTCAAATGGATGATCTGACAATGAAAAGCCTTGGGGAATATGACATGCAAAACCCATGAATTATAAGTTCCTCAGGTTTCTTGTCTTTACCATGCTGTGTACAGTACTGAGAGCAGCCAACGTACGTCTCTCCAGCAATAAATATAACACTTAAAGCGAAACACAAATTAATAAAACAAGAGCATTTCATATATTATTTCAACGGACTAGATGTTACCGCACTTTTTTTTTTTGTTTATGAAAGTGTTCTATTTTATAGACATCTGGGATTTAATCAAAGCAAAGCAAGACCCTAGAGGAGAAAACAGATTAATCACATTTGGAAAAAGTACACATATCATTTTAAGCAGTTCAAAGGAAGGATAAAAATAACTACCATCTGCCTAATTCAGTTACACATTGTTTTTAAAAAAACATTTTACAGATTTTAGCCAGAGAGCCAGAGTTTATTCCATAGACTTAGAAAAGATCCTCAAAGCTCAGCTTACTCTTTGTAAGTTCTCGTTTCAGGGTCTTCTGTCATTACATCATGTAGAGCCTCCACGCAAATATTGATGATTCCACAGAACTTATCTTGGATCACACTGGAAAAAAAAACAGGAAGAGCTCTCCATTAAAAATGACTTTCGTCAAGAAAGGGTGGCAGACTGAAAACATTAGTTAATGTCAGTGAAAAACTACTTTTTTTCTAAACAAAGGAAACAACTCAGAATAGATTACAAGCATGCTGTTTACTAAAAACAGAACAATGTTGGCAAACTGAAATAATCTCAGCAAAAATATCCAAAGTTAAGTGCATCTTAATAATTTGAACTCTGTTTTACTTTAAGCAATCAGGAATAATTAGGCATCCTGAGCGCTAATTTGCAACGCCTGTGGTGTGACATTTGCAGCTCATTCTATAGTACCAAGACATTTAAGTCATTATCTATGCATCCTGCTGTCATGTGCTCTGTGTGATTTCATCATTTGATTTGATTAGATTTAAATCTGCAAATCTACGCATTTCAGTAAAAATGATTATAAAATGACCTTACATCCAGTATAAGGTAGTGTGTTAGGTAAGTATTTATAATGTATTTTGTTCACTGTAATGTTCACTGTAAGGTTACACTTTCTCTTCTGATTCCATCTCTATAACTATACAACATTTTCAGAAATCCCTATTTTTTGAATAGCAAGAAGAAAGACAATCATACTACTAATACTGACATTTGAAAAAACTAAGGAACAACAACTTAAAACATATATCAGTGAAATTCAAATGATATTATATGCATACTATTCAAGTCTAATTTCAAAGTCACTCTAGGAAATTACATGAATATTGACAAACAAGATCATGGTCAGACTGGTTTACTGTGCTATACAACCCAATTATATTTAAAAAAACATTTTTTTTCTTTGTTAACGCGGCCATGTGTATTTATACTAAGCGTAACACAAGAGGCAGTACAGAGCATGAAGACTCCATTCTTAGAGGGGAAAAAAACAGTCAAAATATTCCATCTCTTGTCATTATCATATACATGATTTGCAATGAACACATTGAGATTGAATAAGAATCTTTTAAGGGTAAAAATGTATATTGAGAACAGACAGACCTAGATAGGACCCAAACCTATCAATTCAAAACATTTAATTCATAAAACATAAAAAAAACATATAAACATTTCTAAGAAAAAATCAACAAAAGAGCAAAAGTCCATAAAATGATTATGAAAGTAACAGCATACATCTGCACTGTTAGGACGCTCTTACTTTATACTACAACATAGAAGAATAAGTTCACTATATATTTAAGTATTAAACTACACATACATTTGTAGAGGAGGCATTATCCAATAAAGATCATATTGATAAAACTTTACACTCATTGTTGCAAGCCTCTGGAACAAAGCAAAATTTTTTTCGAAAACACCTCCCTGCAGGCAGAAGAGATTGATGAAGAATATGAACGAATATGAGATGAGTCTTCAATGAAGGCATAGGTCTTCATCTGATGGACATAAAGTTGTGCTAAGGGGTCTTAAAGGCTCACCAGTGATTTTAGAGCGGAGGTTTACAACATTTTGTAAGCAGTTTTTGTCTTTTTGACTGTGAACCAATGGATAAAGGTTAAAGTTAAAATACTCTGCATAAAAGAGCTATAAAAAGTTGATAAGATTCTGTTTTGGACTCCAAAGGAACTCAGTCTTTGCAAACAATCATTTACTTACCGCTATTCTGTACCTTCATAAAAACTTAGGATACACTCGCTGAAATCAGTGTGCAGTATGTTGGTCACTCTGGTAGTATGTTTGTTTCTGTTCTTATCACAGGACAATAACAGTTCAATGTGCAATGTCCCAGAATTGGAGAACAGTAGGGGTTTATGGGTGGGATTTCTCTTATTAATAGTAAGCTTTCATGGGTGAGATAGACAAAACATTGACAGTTTTAATGAAAACAGAAATAATCTATTTCCTAATCTGTAGATAAAATCTGTAATAATCTTATTATTCACATCACAAGTTTTGAAATAATATATGTATGCTTAATCAACAATGTAAAAAATATAATGTACCTTACGTAAAATTCTAGTTACATTTTAAATTAAGATAATTTGCTGAATATTGAAATATTTTAATGAATAGTAATTGGTGTAAAAGCAACTAAATGCACCCGGGAACCTGCAGAGATCCACCAACCTGTTAGGCTAATTAACATCTGTGAGGATTTAGATGTGAAACTTTTATAAACTATTTAAAATATCACATCTGACTGCTGTAAAACCTGCATGGTTTCAATGTTCCCCTTTTCTAGCTTAATATGTGAATTAAAGGAATCTCTGAAGTCTTCTCTTGAGCCAGGCTGAATAAAACATGGAGTCACCTCCTGTGTCTAATTCCTTTAAAGAGTCACAGCTTCCAAGTACAGCAGCACATGTAGCACATGGGGCCTCTGCCTTGAGTGTAGCCCAGAGCTTGCATATTATTGCAAGAGTCAGTTTCCAGAATTGTCCAAATCTGCACTGATTAAAGGAGACTGTTTAAGCCACTGGGAATGGAAAAACAGGAAGAGCCATGCTGCTTTAGGTTGTAAATTTTCATCACTGACCAGGTTACAATGGAGCGTGTCCATTCTGAACTTCACACAGTAAAAACTGATTGTCAGAGGATCAAAGTACAGTCAGTAATTCATATACCCCGTCATTACCGATTGTATCAAGTAGTCAAGGAGAAGTAATTTTAAACATGAACCGAATAACTTACCAGGATCAGAGCTGACAAACAACAGTAACGTGGATGATACAGATAAAAGCTGTACATCTCCGATGCAAGCTTTGCATCAGTTTGTCCCATTCCTTTCGTGGACAATTGGCAGGCTTTTCACTGGTCTCTGATGCTCCAGTTCAACAAAGCTGCATAGCTGTTACATTCATTTTTCACAACACAGTTATGTCATAAGAGCTGCATGGGATGCGTTTTGGTCTGTTGGCAAGGGCAACATGTGAGGCACCCGGACAAAATGAATATAGCCCCAGGCTGCCATCAATCACTACAAGTGGAGTTTTATAGTGACCAGACACTCCTGCCCAGGACATCACACTTAGACTTCCCCCTACTGGATTTTATAACTCAATAATTACTGTATTATTCTCTATATTTGCATTAATAATATAAATTATTGCTTACACTTATATAGCACTTTTCTGGACACTCCCTTCAAAGCTCTTTACAGGTAATAGGGACTCCCCTCCGCCACCACCCATGTGCAGCGTCCACCTGTATGATGGGACAGCAGCCATAGTCCACCAGAACGCTCACTACATACCAGCTATTAGTGGGGAGGAGAACAGAGTAATGAAGCCAATATATAGATGGGAATTATTAGGAGGCCATGATTGGTAAGGGCCAATGGGAAATTTGGCCAAGATGCCGGGGTTACACCCCTACTCTTTTCGAACCCTAACCCTGGGATTTTCAATGACAACAGAGAGTCAGGACCTCAGTTTTACGTCTCACCCTAAGGACGGCGCCTTTTTACAGTATAGTGACCCCGACACTATAGTGAGGCATTAGGACCTACATAGACTGCAGGATAAGTGCCCCCTGCTGGCCCCACTAACACCTCTTCCAGCAGCAACCTTAGTTTTTCCCAGGAGTTTAAACAAAACCACCTACTGGCAAGCCCACCTGTGATGTTACTCCAACACAAAAATAACAGAAAGGTGTTCCCTACCTTCATTTTCAACAGAAATGCAGTATCATTGGTATATAATAAATAATCAATTAATCAAATTGACCCCCCAAAACTTTTAATGTTCAAAATCTATACAGTATACTATTTATTGAAAACAATATACATGCATTAAGATAATGAAAAGTTTCTTTTGATGCTCGGTATACATCGACATCAACCTGATATGCTACAGATCAAACCAGGTATCAAAATGTGAATTCAAAGTGAAGTTTTAGAATGAAATGATTTTGGATTTTTTTAAACACACTACTAGTTTTTGCTGGGAAGTTTTAATATATATTCTTCTGTATAAACTCTTGTGTTATGGGATATTTCAATAAATTATATGCTGCACCAGTAGCAATGCATATCGGATGCATTAAAAACATTCAATATACTTGCAGAATAAGATCTTTGTGTGAAGACGACCAATATTGGTTTACTTATGCAGCAGTTATTGATGCTTCCCATGAAAGTTTCATGTTTCCTTAACGCCAGTCGGCAATTCATACATTATATTTCCAATATATTATATACACTATTTAAAAAAATGATTATTCAAAGTGATGATAAAATATACTGTACATTGTTAAGAAAATATTTATAAAATTTCCCAAAAAATGTAAAGCATTACATACTTCAGAATTTTTTAACATTGTATGTATAATACAATACCAGAACGTATTAAGAAACTGCTCTTTTTACGTGAAGCATAACAGGTCATTTTGTGGATATAGCTCGTTTTGGTTGTTAGCTAAATAATCTGAGGAACCAAACTGCCCATTTCCAGAAAAAGGTCAGGGTTTTGGCTTTGTACTTAAGCAAATATGTACTTAAGTAATACAACAGTGTTACAATTAGACTCACAGCCTCTTAGTTCAGTTCAGTTTATTGTCATATGCACAAATGCAATTAAATGCGTTAGGGGTAGGTCCTGCCATTTATACAACTGTATGTATCTGCAAACAAACAGTTCTTTAAATTCAAGAAATGAAAAAAAAAATCAGATTAATCAGCTAACAAAGCTAGATGGGTTAAATGATCTCCTCAAACTTAACTTTTAATGTAATTGTGTCCATTTCTAAGACTTTGTACATGTTTCAGAAGATTCTGTTTCCCTTGTCTAATATAACTAACAGTTTGATAGCAAAAACAATTTTGCAGATTTGCAGAATGCAAGACTATAAAGAATAAAACACTAAACTTATTTTGAACGAGAAACCAGAAATGTTAGGTGCTACTGTTTATACCTTTTAATTGATATTTTCTAAATTTTAAAGCACTATTATTGAATTAAATAGTGTTAACAACCAGAAGACCATTTAATTTTAAACTGTGGGAAATGCTGAACATGAAGATG